GGCTGGGGACCGACTGGCTAGGCAGCAGTTCTGGAGAAAAGGACCTGGGGATTATAGTGGACGAGAAGCTGGATATGAGTCAACAGTGTGCCCTCGTTGCCAAGAAGGCCAACGGCATTTTGGGCTGCATTAGTAGGAGCATTAGCAGTAGATCGAGGGAAGCGATTATTTCCCTCTATTTAGCACTGGTGAGGCCACACCCAAAGTATTGCATCCAGTTTTGGTCCCTCCACTACATAAGGGATGTGGAGAAATTGGAGAGAGTCCAGCAGAGGGCAATGATAATGATTTAGGGGTCTGGGGCACATGACTTATGAGGAGAGGCTAAGGGAACTGGGCATATTTAGTCTGCAGAAGAGAAGAGTGAGGGGGGATTTGATCGCAGCCTTCAACTACAGGAAGTGGGGTTCCAAAGAGGATGGAGTTCGACTGTTCTCAGTGGTGGCAGATGACAGAAGAAGAAGCAAAGTTGCAGTGGGGGAGGTCTAGGTTGGATATTAGGAAACACTATTTCACTAGTAGGGTGGTTAAGTACTGGAATGGGTTACCTAGGGAGGTGGTGGAATCTCCATCCTGAGAGGTTTTTAAGGCCCGGCTTGAGAAAGCCCTGGCTAGGATGATTTAGTTGGTGTTGGTTCTGCTTTGAGCAGGGGGTTGGACTAGATGACCTCCTGAGGTCTCTTCCAACCCTAATCTTCTATGATTCTATGATCCTGCCTTCCTGCATAACCAGGTCGGTGGGAGCATTGGGAGTGCTAGCAATAAAGGATCAGCCCAAAATATTCAGAAACAAAATCTTATGTAAGAGCAGCTTAATTTTCAGAAAAAAGGTTCAGATTTTATGTATTATTATCTATCAAATAACTTGGTTAATACAGAATGAATATTTCATCACTGTAATAATAAGAATATTGCATTTGTAAAGTACTCTTCATCTGAGATTTCAAAGTGCTGCACTGCTTAATAACCTCTTGGTACGCTCCGAATGATGTGATTGTTATAGAATCATAGAATCGTAAGACTGGAAGGGACCTTGAGAGGTCATCTAGTGCAGTCCCCTGCACTCATGGCAGGATTAAGTATAATCTAGACCATCCCTGACAGGTGTTTGTCTAACCTCCTTTTAAAAATCCCCAATGATGGAGATTCCACAACTTCCTTAGGCAATTTATTCCAGTGCTTAACCACCCTGACAGTTAGGACATTTTTCCTAATGTCCAACCTAAACTGCCCTTGCTGTAATTTAAGCCCATTGCTTCTTGTTCTAGCCTCAGAGGTTAATGAAGAATTTTTCTTCCTCCTCCTTGTAACAACCTTTTATGTATTTGAAAACTGTTATCATGTCCCCTCTCAGTTTTCTTTTCTCCAGACTAAACAAACACAGTTTTTTTCAATCTTCCCTCATGGGTCATGTTTTCTAGACCTTTCATCATTTTTGTTGCTCTTCTCTGGACTTTCTCCAGTTTGTCCACATCCTTCCTGAAATGTGGCACCCAGAACTGGACACAATACTCCAGATTAGGCCATATCAGCACAGAGTAGAGTGGAAGAGTTATTTCTCATGTCTTGCTTACAATACTCCTGCTAATACATCCCAGAATGATGTTAACTTTTTTTGCAACAGTGTTACACTGTTCACTCATATTTAGCTTATGATCCACTATGACCCCCAGATCCCTTTCTGCAGTACTCCTTCCTAGGCAGTCATTTTCCATTTTGTATGTGTGCAACTGACTGTTTCTTCCTAAATGGTGTACTTTGCATTTGTTCTGATTGAATTTCATCCTATTTACTTCAGATCATTTCTCCAGTTTGTCCAAATCATTTTGAATTTTAATCCTATTCTCCAAAGCACTTGCAACCCCTCCCAGCTTGGTATCATCCACAAACTTTATAAGTGTACTCTCTATGATACCATCTAAATCATCGATGAAGATATTGAACAGAACCGGACCCAGAACTGTGGGACCCCACTTGATATGCCCTTCCTGCTTGACTATGAACCACTAACTACTCTTTGCAAATGGTTTTCCAACCAGTTATGCACCCACCTTATAGTAGCTCCATCTAGATTGTATGTCCCTGGTTTGTTTATGAGAAAGTCATAGGACACAGTATCAAAAGCCTTACTAAAGTCAAGATATACCACATCTACCACTTCCCCCCACCCACAAGGCTTGTTACCCTGTCAAAAAAGCTATTAGATTGATTTGACACAATTTGTTCTTGACAAATCCATGCTAACTGTTACTTATCACCTTATTATCGTCTAGGTGTTTGCAAATTGATTCCTTAGTTATTTGCTCCATTATCTTTCTGGGTACTGAAGTTAAGCTGATTGATCTGCAGTTTCCCTGGTTGTCCTTATTTCCCTATTTATAGACTGGCAAATATAGTGCCCTTTTCCAGTCTTCTGGAATCTCTCCTGTCTTCCATGACTTTTCGAAGATAATTGCTAATGTCTCAGATATCTCCTCAGTCAGCTCCTTGAGTATTCTAGGATGTATTTCATCAGGCCCTGATGACTTGAAGACATCTAACTGGTCTAAGTAATTTTTAACTTTTTCTTTCCCTAGCCTCTGATCCTATCTCATTTTCACTGGCATTCTCTATGTTAGATGTCCACTCACTACTAACCTTTCTGATGGAAAGCAAAACAAAAAAGTCATTTAGCACTTCTGCCATTTCCACATTTTCTCTTATTGTTTTTTCCCCCTCGTTGAGTGAAGGCCTACCCTGTCCTTGGTCTTTCTCTTGCTTCTAATGTATTTGTAGAATATTTTCATTTACCCTTTATGTCTCTAGCTAGTTTAATCTTGTTTTGTACCTTGGTCTTTCTAATTTTGTCCCTACATACTTGTGTTATTTGTTTATATTCATCCTTTGTAATTTGTAATTACAATTTTTTAATTCAGAGCATACACATGGAGAGTTAGAAACAAAACATAAATACTCTTCCTGAAAGGTTGCAATGTAACACTGCTTTATTTTTAAGACTCCAAAACTCTAACACATCACAGCCAAATATAGAGAGAGACAAAGCAGGCTGCTCCCTAAGGCAGAGGTAGAGCTCAACCCACCTATGTCTAGGCTGATTCTTTGCAGATTGACTGCAGAGGACCCAGACTGTACACTCCCTGCATAGCCCCTCAGCCTACAAGCAGCACCAGGAATCACCTCAGGATTTAAAGTGACACTTGTAATATGTACACAGTTTTCAATATACCACTAATCACTTAGCAAGGACCCTCTATTCAGCCATTGCTCCAGGGGCCAGGCAACAGGAATCTGTAGAAATCTTTACTCTGAATTTCCAGACTTACATTTTGTTTTTATTAAAGTCCTTCATTAACATATTTTGGGGCAGGTTGTCTCATGTGGCTGAGCCCCACTGAGCACAGGTGAGTCGGAGGTGTCAGGAAGCTGGTCACAACTCTCTGATTCTGAGGGTCAGTCAGCACTGGCTGCAGCCTTGGGATCAGTTAGAGCAGCCTAGGGACTGCTTGAAGTTATGTCAGTGGGGTTTAGCCTTATCTATAGTTATGGGTTACTTTAACCAAGAACCCACACTAAGGTGACAGTTTAACCTAATTTAATCTGTGAGAGTTCAGCCCCCAAGATCGACTACAGTGGAGAGGTTATCAATAGAAAGGGGACCCCATGGTGCACAACAGAGACTACATAGTGCTCTCTCTATACTAATTACTTTGATTAGCCAGCCAAACAATACACATGCTGCAGTCTGGCAAAGTAGAAAGAGACCAATATAGAATGCATAGTATTTGCACTACTCACACCAGTTCTTGCAGACAAACCCAAACTGTTACTCCTCATCTTCATCCTCCTCACCTTCATCACCGCCACCACCAGTGCCCATCATCCTGGCATCTCCCCCCACCAAGGCGCACAGGCTGGGGTACAGCTTTTATAATCTGTTATGCTGATGCCCACTGGGGTTCAAACATATTTATGAAGGTTATAACCCCTATTCCTTATTTCAACTTCCATACCTCACTACTTTTGGGGTGCTCCATTTCTCATTGGTGAACTCATTAGTTCCCCTTATATTCATTAACATTTACATCACTGTGTCAACATAGTAACAGGCAGAAGTCTGTCACCCGGCTACCAACGGTTGTCTTGTGATGTGTACGGATTTCTCATAGACATTATAATACAAACCCAGCACTTCTTTTCAAAACATCAGCATATCACAAACAGCCACAAACTCAGCAGGTATATTATTAATGTACTTATGCTAACGTACACTAAGTCCTGAGGCCTAATTTGGCGATGTCAGATATTTTACAGGCCTGAGGCCAGTAGGCCTGTGTTACAACATTGATTAATATTTATTGGGGTTGTTAAGCGATTAACAAAATTAACTGTGATTAATTGCACAATTAATCATGCTGTTAAACTATAATATAATATCATTTATTTAAATATTTTTTGATGTTTTCTACATTTTCAAGTATTTTGATTTCAATTACAACATAGAATACAAAGTGTACAGGGCTCACTATATTTATTTTTGATTACAAATATTTGCACTGTAAAAACAAAAGAAATAGTATTTTTCAATTCACCTAATATAAGTGTGACACTCTGTACCTTGGAGGAACACCCTACCCCCTATGTTCATCTTTATAAAATGATTATGTGGCATGCAATGCCAGGTTTGTCATCTTGGGTGTCTTCAGAAGGCTCATAATTCACTGATCATGGTTGTTATAGTAATTGATACAGTAATGTTATAATAATGTCATAGGTTATAATTTCATGTATATAGTTACGAGGCTGAAAATGTATCCTCATGGCTTAAAGCAAGTCCAGGCAAAAACTCTCCAAGAGCAGAGAGGCAGTTCACACCTCATCAGGGCATGTATGGGACAAACCCAGCCCAGCATCACAGGAACAAAGGACGCTGGCCTAGGCAACAACAAAAGGTTTTCTTGAACTCAAAAGGGAGTCGCTCCCCTTCCTTTGGTCAGTTTGGAACTGTGATGAGGTAATGCTCACCTGACTCTGAAGGGGGCGGGGCAAAGCCAAGAGGGAAGAAAGAACATGATAATAGGGAAAGACGTTTGCCATGCTCTCTCTCTCTCTTCCACCTACATTTACACCCATCACACCAAGCGACTGAGGCACTGATCAAAGGGGAGAGCCTGGCTGAAGAGAAACCAGACAGCCTGTGGTGTGAAGCATTTAAGTTTATAAGGGCATTGAAAGTGTTAAGATCAGCTTAGAATGTGTTTTGCTTTTATTTCATTTGACCAAATCTGACGTGTTGTGCTTTGACTTATAATCACTTAAAATCTATCTTTATAGTTAATAAATCTGTTTGTTTATTCTACTTGAAGCAGTGCGTTTGGTTTGAAGTGTGTCAGAGACTCCCCTTGGCATAACAAACATGGTACATATCAGTTTCTTTGTTAAATTGAAAAACTTATATAAGCTTGCAGTATCCAGCAGGCATAACTAGACACTGCAAGATGGAGGCTCCTAGTGTTGTGTCTGGGACCGGAGATATTGGCTAGTGTCATTCGGTTGCAAGTAGCTGGGAGCAGCTTACATGCCAGAGGCTGTGTCTAAACAGCCCAGGAGTGGGAGTTCTCAGAGCAGAGCAGGATAAGTCTGGCTCCCAGACTCAAAGATTGAAGTGACCTAGCAGATCACCAGTCCAGATAGCACCGGAGGGGAACGTCACAACAAGTACTGGAGTGCAATCTCTTTATCATGAAAGTTGACCTTACAAATGTAGAATTATGTACACAAAAAACCTGCATTAAAAATAAAACAATGTAAAACTTTAGCGTTCAGAAGTCCACTCAGTCCTACTTCTTGTCCACTCAGACACACAAGTTTGTTTACATTTGCGGGAAATAATGCTGCCCGCTTCTTGTTTGCAATGTTACCTGAAAGTGAGAACAGCTGTTCACATGGCACTGTTGTGGCCAGCATCGCAAAATATTTACGTGCCAGATGCGCTAAAGATTCATTTGTCCCTTCATGCTTCAACCACCATTCCAGAGGATATGCGTCCATGCTGATGATGTGTTCTGCTCGATAACAGTCCAAAGCAGCGTGGACCAATGCATGCTCATTTTCATCATCTGAGTCAGATGCCACCAGCAGAAGGTTGATTTTCCTTTTTGGTGGTTCAGGTTCGGTAGTTTCCACATCTGAGTGTTGCTCTTTTAAGACTTCTGAAAGCATGCTCCACACCTTGTCCCTCTCAGCTTTTGGAAGGCACTTCAGATTTTTAACCCTTGGGTCAAGTGCTGTAGCTATCTTTAGAAATCTCACATTGGTATCTTCTTTGCTTTTTGTCAAATCTGCAGTGAAAGTGTTCTTAAAATGAACAACATGTGCTGTACACTTTGTATTCTGT